ATGTCATAGGGATGCTGCGGGCTCTGTAAATGGAAAAAAAGTGCTATATGAATGCTACAGGGTTTTTTGGTTTGTAGTCATGTTGGTCTAAGGATATAGGCAAGCAAGCTTCTTTGGGTAGATGTGATATCTTTTATTAGACCAACTGAGTAGTTGGAAAAAAGTTCTTTGCAAGCTTTCTGGCACAAGCACCCTTCTTTCGTTGCTTGGACATCTCAGAACAGCAGAGACTCCCTATGCCTGAAGAAGGATGGTTGTGTCCGAAAGCTTGCAAAGAACTTTTTTCCAACTCAGTTGGTCCAACGTGAGTGCTAAGAATTATTATAGTATAGAGAAACTATGTTAGTCAAAACAAATTGTATGCAGAAATATACAAACACTGTTTCCCTAGAGGAAGCACACCATGTTTCTAATCTCCCCAGGTTGGCTGTTCAGTGACCAGACAGCTACAGTAATATGATTCTGGCTAGCACGGTTTCATGGTAGTGTAGATGGGACCAAAAGTTCCAGTCATGTCATATTCATTACAGTCCTTCTACAGTTAAATTAAAGAACAATTATTCTTATACTTAACTGTTACAATTTTACCAAATATGACGGCAAAGAGGGGGGAACATGCTCCATTTATAATGGCAGCCAGCGTCCCTAATGCAATCAAAGGCCACTCAGATTTGTTTAATTTAAAAAGTTTCAGCAAAGAAACTTGGGGCAGATGTTCCTATAAAAGAAAACAGAAACATTAAATCAATTATTGTATCTTTGTAAAATACAATTCTCTCCTTTCTTTTTCAGAGACCTGAGTTGAACTACTTGTACACTGCATATAGACAAAGAAAATTTAAGAATCTGGGAATGGCCCAATCCATTCTATGATACTCACTCCATAATAACATTAACAGCAACATCTGTGTTAATAGTTATGTCTTGCATTCATATAAGGTAGCAACTTTGACCCAAGGGTCCCAAAGCAGTGTTACAAAGGAGGGTAGTATTGTCATAGAATCATAGAAATTAGGGTTGAAAGGGACCTCAGGAGGACATCTAATGCAACACCCAGCTCAAAGCAGGACCATCCCCAACTAGATCATTTCAGCCTGGGCTTTGTCAAGCTGGGCCTTAAAAAGCTCCAAGGATGGAGTTTACACCTCCTCTCTAGGTAACTTGTTCCAGTGCTCCACTACCCTCCTAGTGAGAAAGTTTTTCCTAATAAAAATATGATAGCTGAGGACAACCAGAAACAGAAAAGTTAAGAAATTTGCCGAATGTCACATGAATCAGATATATAAATTTAGAAAGAAGAAACAGCCTTTCTAACTGGCACTGAGATAATCTTGAATAGACTGATCTATTCAAAATTGCTGCCATTTCTTTGGAAGAACTCTGTAGGATCTGTTGAAACTCATATATTTTCACTGTACCACACCATAACTAATCATTTTTTAGGACTGAGCAAGACCCACCAAGAAAATCAAATGTCACTTCTGTAAATGATTACCTCTTCAGGTTTGACTTCTTCTTCAGACATCTTTTGTGGAATATGTTTTATTCTTGCTTTTTCAGAGATCAAGCTGTTGCTGGGTGGTGATTCTTCATGATTTTTCAGAACTGTTTCTGCTGATTCTTCACTGTGCTCTGCTTTTTTAATTGACTTTAACATAACAGAAATTCAGTTACAAATATATCGAGTACAATGGTGTAGTTGTAAGAAACGGACTTAATTTCTATTTGCAGTGTCAGGTAAGTACTATGAGGCCTCTGGCACATGTTACATCTATGGCAGGATTAACATGTTAATTGCACCAGAATTGACAATGGTGCCACACATTTACAAAATTTAAGGCACTATAAAATGGCAAACCAGCCACAAAATGGTCCACATATAATGTAGGACAGCTTTGTAACTGGTTTTCATGCAGCTGTAAACTGAATGTGTAGCATGTCCATGCCCCAGAGCTGTCTGAGGCCTGATGATGATAATTATCTGATTGTTGGAATCAGCCCCTGATGGCCCTAGTCTCCAACCAGCCCCAAACTGACAATCAGCCAGTTGTTAGCATTCTCTTCAGGCAGCCCCAGGTCTCTAGTAATCCTGGGGCTGCCACAGGATGGAGCAGGCAGAGCCAAAGGGCTCGCCCTGCTGCAGAGTTCAACTCGCAAAGTCCATTACCCCTGCTGGGGCACATCAGTGAAGGGGTTTAAATTTGCTAGCTGGAACAACCCCTGAGCTCCACCTGTGGGAACCCCGGATCATATGGCTGGCCCTCCTCTGGACCCTCTCAATGTTGTCCACATCCCTCCTGAAGTTTCATAGTTTCATAGTTTCTAGGGTCGGAAGGGACCTGAGCAGATCATCTAGTCCGACCCCCTGCCATGGCAGGAA